TCAAGATAAAATCCCTATTCCTCCTTTTAATTTGAATTAGTGACGTAAGTTTCTACTGTAAAGAGAAATCTAGTATTAAATCTTTACTGAGTGACTTCTTATTTAGCTTTACTCGGCAGTGTCCACCCCACAGGTGAGAAGCTGATCCCCCACACCTCATGGTCATTCTAGTTCTCAGCCTATACAATATCTAGGTTTTTTTTTTTTTTTAATGTTGTGCATACATATCATAGAAGTTTGAGTTCAGACATGACAAATGGTACATAACTAACACATGCCTTATTAAAACTAAATCTAACACATTTATTTCTTTGCCTAATTACAAAGGTAACTTTTTTCCTATGGCAGATGAAGTCTTGTTTTACTGAGTGACTGATTGATATAATTCCCTAGACCACTGTATTAGCCCATTTTCACATTGCTATAAAGATGCTACCTGAAACTGGGTAATTTATAAAGAAAATAGGTTTAATTGACTCACAGTTCCCTATAGCTGGGGAGGCCTCAGGAAACTTATAATCATGGCAGAAGATGAAGGGGAAGAAAGCAACTTCTTCACAAGGTGGCAGGAAAAAGAGAGAGCCCAGGAGAAACTGCCACTTTTAAACCATGAGATCTTGTGAAGCCTCCCTTACTATCATCAGAACAGCATGGGGGAAACCACTCCCATGACCCAATCACCTGCCACCAGGACCCTCCCTCCACTCACAGGCATTACAACTTGAAATGAGATTTGGGTGGGGACACAGAGCCACACCACATCAACTACTATGCTTACATAAGAGAGGGGGACCTTCATGTCTTATCTCTTCCTGCTTGGATAGAGTCTGGGTTATCTCCTCCTTGGCCTGAAGCAGCTCCTCAGGGCACTCCTGTACATTCTTGGTCTTAACCCTGGGGGCCTATCTGGTCAGTCAGGGCTTCTTGCAGGCCAGGCCTCCTCTGCCTTCAGCTTGTGGATATGTCCCAGGAGCATCTGCTTGATGCTCTTTCACCTAAAAGATAATGCAATTTTTAAAAATCAGGTATGTTATTTTCTTTGGGTACTGTGGTCACAGTTATGTCTATTGCTCAGGCAACCAAAGAGGCTTGCCTCCAGCATCCTCTGCCATGACAAAAAGGCCTGGTAGGATCCCAGTGAAACCAACCACCCAGCCAATGCCAACTCTAGCCAGCGGATCTGGAAGTTGATCAAAGATAGGCTGATCATCCACCAGACTGTGACTGTCCATTCTCAGGTTCCATGCCAGAAAGGGGCAGGCACATGGGTACATGTAAGCCTAAGGGCCCTGGACATGCTGAACTGTTCCAGAAGGTAACCTGCATGAGGAAGAGGAGTACTCTGTACCAACCAGCTTCTTAGAAGATATGGTGAATCTGAAATTGACCATCACCTGTATCAGCCTATACCTGAAAAAGGCTTGCTATTTTAGAACCTAGCACTGACTTGTCCATGTGGGATCTTCAGAGTCTCCTTTTCCTCTGCCATGGTAACCTGCAATGTAACAACTAGTGATGCCCTATCAGTCTCGATTCCTGAGTAAAGAGCTGAAGGATGACTGCTTGGGATCAGAGCTACAGATACTATAGCTCCAGAGAGAAATATACCTTGTTGTTTTAAGCTGGGATTTGTGGGGCTGTTTACTATTGCAGTATAACCCAGCCCATCCTGACTGACACAGTTATCTTACTTATTCCAGACAACAAACAGACAAGATAGACAATATTGCTAAAAAAAAAAAGTAACTGGTGTAAAAGTGGAGACTTGGGAAGCTAAATAATTCATGTCCTAATTCATGTCCAAAGTTACACTGCCAGCATTTGAACTGTCTCATTCCAACGCCCACTATATTTCCGCCTTATCACTTTGACTCAAAAAATATTGTGAAGTACAACTCAGTAGGCTTGATATCATGCTTAGAAATCAGAAAGTTTTAGATAAATATTTGTTGAGCAATGTTAAACATGCCCTTGAACCACTCTTCCAGTGATGAAGAGGATGAAGTCCTCTGTGCCAGCTAAGAATACTTCCAGAGGCTAAAAAGAAGGCTGGCTGGAAAACTTCCTTTGAGATCTGCAGGAATTTATGCTTCATCATAATTTCCATCAAGGGATAAATGAATGAAAGCAGCATAGGCTGCCTAAAATCTAATTTTAGCGTCACATGCCCAACAATTTCAACATACTTTAGCCAAGACTTCTCTGAACTCTAGATATTATAAATGTCATTCCACTCCTATTTTGAAAGTAAATATTCTAACTTTTCAGTAGAATCAGAAAAATGGAGATGACATCTATGTATTAGTAATCTGGAAAATCACATAGGAATTAAACTTTCATTAGATTACTTCAAGCATTAAAATTTGGGAAGAAAATAAGCTGCTCTAATTTTTCATTCATTCATTCATTTGACAAATAATTATTGAGGGCATTGTACTCGGTACTGGAGATAAAGTGATAAGCAAAATAGACAAAAATCTCTGCCTTCTTGGGTCCCATTTTTAATAGGGGAGACAGATAATAATAAGATAAATAGAGACTTAGATGTAAGAAGCACTGGAGAAAAATAATGCAGAGATAGGCTTTGTGTGTGTGACGCAGAAGAAGGATGTAACTAATATAATATGGCCATGGAAGGTCTTACTGAGGAAGTGAAATTTGAATAAAGCCTTAAAAACGGTGAAATAGCCATCTACTTGGCTATATGGAGGAAGCACATTCCAGGATCTTAGAATAGTAAAAATACTAGCTCCAAAACAGAACTGTGCCTGGTATAGTCAGAAACACTCAGGATATCAGTGTAGCTAGAGTAAAATGATAAGAATTTTTGTCTGTCTTGATCACCATAAATCCCACCCTAGCAACCAGCACAGTGCTGAGCACACAGTAGGTCCTCTAGCACATAGTAGGCACACTGTAAATACATGTTGAGTAAATGAACCAATCAATGGGCAAAGGGAGTGAATAGGATTAGGAATGGTGGCCAAAGGTAGAGTCTAACTTTATCATATGTGATCTACACAATTTTTTAAAATAAAAAATAATTAAGGCAAATATGACCATATGTTAATAACAGTCCATTCTGGGATGTGAGAAAGTATGTTTTACTTTTTATATTTCTAAAATTATTGTAAACAAACAATTCAAGAGATACTAAAAACCTCATCCCAACAATGAAGTGGCTAGTACAGAACTTAGTATTTTTACCTGCTGTTTCCTGTTATCCTCCACACCTGTAAGAGAACTGGTTTTCTATTCACTTTACAACCGTAGAAACAAGCTCAGAGAAGTTATGAGAGTTGACTAAGGCTATGTACAACCAGGCAAGAGAAGAGCTGAAATTTTCATATAGGTTTTCTGACTCTAATTCCAGTGTTTGTTGTTTACATTACACTATTATGCATGTAACATATATATAAGGCTTTTCTACACCTATAAACTATAAAATATATGTAACTGCTACATTTAGTAAATGACTAAAAAAAAAAAGCTGTGTAAAATTTTTATGTAATTTTATGCCATTGCTATTTGTTCTTAAAACAATCATTCTGAATTTACCTCTTATAGTCATTCCACTGATCGCTCCCCTTTTTACCCCTTGAACCTCCAACTAATTGATCTATAAACCACTCAATCCTTGTCCCACTAAACACATAATAAGACTTACTCTATCTTATATTTATACATAGAATTAAAGATCTCTATTTGGGTTACACATAACTACAAGACTGAACAGAGAGAAAGTTCTAATTCAGTCTGGTTAGCCTGCCCCACATACGTAGGGCCATAGGACAGTCTTAATGAAAACCAGAATTACAGATTGTAGATGTTTCAAAAGTTTACATTTGAATAAATTATTCTGACAACAGAACAAGATTGCTTTTTTGGCCTTTCTTCTTTTTTTAGTCAGAAGGGTTTAGTAAATTCAGTAGTGTTAAGACACAGGTTGAGAGAAATGTATCTAATTTATTAAGAATCAGAATTGGAGTGGAATAAATAAAAGCTGGTAAAACATAAAAGGCCAGTGATTTCTGGGACATCGACTGCATACAAGCTGATCAATACAAATTAAGAGAGATACAATGACTCATTAGAAAAATCTGATGCGTAATTTAAAACCAGACTGCATTATGGATCATAATGACATTCCTCCTTCCCCTTAGAGTTCTATGGACTCCTTATTTCCTGCATTTGAGAAATGCAAGCAAAGTGCCCTCCTGGGCACCAAGAGGGAGTCTCTCTCAGCTTCCACTGCAGTGACGATTGACAAGTTGGACTGTCACAGCTGGAATCATCTAGGGAAGATGCCACCAATGGAGTGTTAAGAGAGAAACATCATTCCTAAGAAACTGCTTTGTCTCACACATCCTTCATGGCCAGGTGTACTAAAGTGCCTCAACCAACCTTTCACAACCCTGTCTGTAAAAGCTGGTTTTACACAAGCATAGAACCTAGTTCGGCAGTTCGCCACTGCCAAATGTCTGCAAGCTGATTAGGCCTATCACTAGGTCTCCTAATTTAAACCATTCTCTTAGACATTTAAACCACTTATACTTTATACTTCCAGTCTATTTGCAAATCCATCTTTTAGCTTTATTACCCACCTATCTCCAGCCCTTAATTTCAAAGGTCCACCGGATATATGCGGTTGTTTTGCGTCCAACTAGCAGTTTAAGACATGAAAATGACATCAAACAAGAAAAAGAACCATTACGATGTTTCTATATTTTCCCCTAAGTACAGAATTTCACATTATAGCCCTTGTCTTCAAACACCTAAACAAAGTACACAGGACCGTTATCATTCCGTGCCCACTCACACCCTAAAAATAGCTCTCTTCACCCCAATTGCTCAAAATGCCTGTCACTCCAAGCACTTTTACTCGCCCCAGAGCCTCATTTAAACTTTAGCCCCTCCTCGCCCCGCCCCGAAGCTGATCCCTGATTGGTCGAGGACCACTCCTCGTGGGGCAGTTCAGGCCACCGCGCGCGGCGCGCGCTGGGAAACGAGTGGAGGCACGAGGGCAGGCGCGAGCTGCCGGTGGGCTCCCTTCCCCCTTCGGCGACCCCCGCTCTGACCGACTGGTCCCCGAAACGGTGGCGGCGGTTTGTGGTCGTTGGTCCCTGAGATTTAGGACCAACATTTGGAGACCCGACGGGGTGAGGAGGGAAAAGGGGAAACAGGGTCACTACCAAACCGCTGCTAACGGCTGGAGACCGTGCCCGGCTTACTCTCACTCCGAACACTCAGTGGGGTCTGGAGACGGTGTCTGCGGGGTTCACCCCTCGTCCTTTCCCAGCCCCGTCGAGCAGTGGGAGGGTGTCCGAGACGCGGCTTCCCGCCCCGGCAGCATCTGGTCAGACCGCGCCCTCGCCGTCACACAGGCGCCGCGTGGTGCGGGCCTAGCGGCCAGTCTCGTCGTGGCGTCTGGCGCTTCTACCGCGCCGCGGCGCCCTGCGCTCTCCGCCTTATTTCCGCTCTCCCCGCCGCCTTCCGGCCGCTTCCCATCTGTGCTGCCTTCCGTGTTCTTTTCCTGACACGCTCCTGCCGGCGTCCGCTGCAGGCCCGGGCAGCCGCCTGGCCGTTGTTGGGCCGCGCGTCCCCCGGAGGCTTTGAGACGCTGCCTGGAGCGTCCCGACGGCTGTGCGAGATTCAGCAGTCTAGTTGTTTCAGAATTGAATTCATGCTGGGTGAGCCTTAGCGAACTCCTTGTCGGTTTCGTGGAGTTCTAGCCGGGCTGAGCCTCGAACTCTTCTCTGCCTTTGTCTCCTTTCTGTCTCTTCCCCGAGTGCCTCCTATGTGCTAGGCTGTGGGCAGTGGGAGGCCGCGGGTGTGCAGGGTAGGGGAGGGGGGGCGGTAAAGAATCTCGCCTCTACCCCGACACGCCGGCAGCACACGCCGTGGCACTACCTTTGTTTCCTGACATCTGGTAGTTTTTAAACCACTAATTTAACAGTGTTTCTTTGAGGGTACTGGAAAGACCACAGAACTTGGAGTCAGGAGGCACGGGATTTAATCCTGGCGTTGATATGTGAGATGTTGCGAAGCTCCTTTTTTTATTTGGGCACCAAATTTTCGCAAATTTAAGTTCTTTAAGCTTTAACTGTCTTTACAGTCTTAAATTCCCCGTAACCTTTATATTATATGGTAATCCTAATATAGGCAAATATCAAAGGCAATATTGGCAGGATCTGATATTTGAGATATATATATATATATATATATTTATTATTATTTTTGAGACAGTTTCGGTCTGTCACCAGGCTGGAGTGCAGTGGCATAATCTCGGCTCACTGCAACCTCCACCTCCCGGGTTCAAGCCGTTTTCTTGCCTCAGCCTCCCAAGTAGCTGGGACTACAGGCTCGCGCCTCCACGCCCAGCTAATTTTTGTATTTTTAGTAGAAATGGGTTTTCACCATGTTGACCAGAATGGTCTCTATCTCTTGACCTCATGATCCACCCGTTTTGGCCTCTCAAAGTGCTGGGATTACAGGCGTGAGCCACCGCGGAGCTTTTTAAGTCTTGGCTTCTCTTGAAAATTGGTCCGATTTTGTACTTGAGAATGGCGTTATAACCAGGAAGCAGGATATGTCGCGTGTATAAGGAGAATAACATTTAAAGAACATGTTGAAGTGTTGGTAGAATTTTGCTTATTTGAATAATGGGAACCTATTTTCCTTTCAAGAATCGCCATAATGTATACAGTTTGACAGACTTCCATTTGGATCTTCTCAGAATTGAATCTCTTTTCGGGCTAATGATAGACTTGCTTTCAGGGCACACATTTAAAACATTCTGCTTTAAACTTTGTTTTCATCTGTTTGCATTGTTAATAAAATTTGTTTGCACCTTTATAGACATAAAGATGACTGTTAGTGCTGCAGTCGATAAATATGAATGCTTTCTGCTTAAGGCACTGCTTTGATTGCTAATTTTCACTTAAGAGGTTGGAGTAGTGGACTTGAAATTTTTGCCAAATGTTGTAATACTTATCAATACTTAAAATATATGCGTTATGGATATATCATGAAATAAGAATTAGTAATAATGAGAACAAACCCAGTTTATGGACTGAAATTAAGCCTCAGGTTTAAGGATGTTATTTTATTGTTGGGAGAAGGAAGACAGGTCCTTTTAAGTAGAGCTTGTGAATACAAATCAAGTAATTGCTGTAAAAATTGTCCAAATTTGCATATTAATGCGGAATATTCTCATTTTACTGCCTGATGGCTGAGGAGGCAAGAAAATAAAGAAAATGTGATTTCTGTGTTCAGATTTCAAATAACAGACGAAAGACCTTGTGTAAGGTCTACAAGAATGTGTAGATATCTTTATCCTGACTTAAAAGAGCATATACACCTTTGTGTTTAAAGCAAAAAATTTTTAAAGTATTTGTTACAGTTTTTTTTAAGTAGTTCAATTTTTAAGTTATTCTAAATTTAAACCTAATATTAAAACTTTTATCCGTTATATATTTAACTTCTAGCAATAAAATATGCCGTCATTCTTTAATAAAAACAACTTAAAATCGAATTGAACTGATCCATCTATACACTTTGAAATAATTTTAGACTTCCATATTCACACACTTTTGATTAACTCTTCTCATTTTCCAACCATGTTGGCTGTAGTGCAGCCTGTCATTAAAGTGAATTGCTGCTTAAAAACAAACCAAAAAACCTCCATTGATCTGGCAACCATGCTTTCTATGTACCATACTCAATGACAACTGAGCTAACAAATCAGTAGTTTAGTACTATATAATTCAAGGAATGTCATAAAGATCTAATGGGCCTTCATAAGGGCACATTTTGATATTCTTAAAGATTATTTTTCATTACTACATTGAGTTTTTAAAATCCACGTTAAGATTATATAATGTTCACTTAACAACTTGTTAAATTTTTACAGTAACTTGGAAGATGAAGTTTCAATTCAAGTAGTTTCAATACAGGTGACACAGTTCCTTTAAACAATTTTCATTAATATTTTGCTAAAATTGTGATTCTCATTTTTTCATTAATATACTATTTTTGAAAGGCAGTACAAATTTAAAAATACATTTTTAATAAATATTAAGGTGGTCGAAATTAAAGGAGGTATAGTTAGCACTTTAAAGGCTTGATTCAGATTGTTAACTTGAATATCCTGTGATTTGCTATCCTCTTGGCCTTTTGCTTCATACTTCAGAGAGGTTTTTTCCTTTCTTCTATTTTTTTTTTGAAAGTGAGCTAGAAAGGAATCTTTGAAAGTCTAAAATTTAGGGAAAAAAATATATATATCTAAAAGGTAGAGTTAAATATGGCACAACTTTTAATTTCTCAGTTCTACTTTGTTTGCAAAACCATTTTTGTCATTCTCCTACTCAGGATCCCTCTTTCTCTTGAATTCTTTGGCTTAGCATGGTAAGGAAACAAATTTTTAGAATACTTTGGAATGTGGCTCCACATCTGAAAGTGACAAGAGGACAACTGGTATGTCTGTTTTGCCCTAATGTTTAGGACAGGTGTGCTTCCTTGGATATTTAGGTAACACTCTGATTGATTCTGGAGTATTTTAGAATGAATGTATTGTATGCTTGTTTTAGATTTGATTATATTTCGCTGGCTATTCTTGAATTTTGCCTCTTTTAGAAATATACTTTTGTTAATATGTTAAAGTTAAGTAATTTTGAACTTTTATCTTGATTGTGAATTATGCATGTGCATACATTTTGTTTTGGAGGGCTTGAGATAACACTTTTGTTTTTTCTAAAGAGAGTACGATTGGCGACTCTTCAGTGTGTCTTTTACTTCTGTAGTTTCAAGCTTCTATAATATTTTGATTGAGATTTCTTGAGATATACAAAGTCCGGCATATGTTTCCAGTCATTCTCTAGTAAAAGGAGCCTTTAATGTGTATTGACTGGCTTGTTATTTCAATATAAGACTCTAGATAATTTCTTTAAAAATAGAACTTTAGAGACATGAATTAACCCAAAAAATAGGTCTGTAAAGCAGTTGCAGGGGTGTGCTGGATTGCAGAAATCAGCCATTTGGAACTAGCTATGAATTGCAGTTAAAAAAAAAAAAAAAAAAGTCTTGTTTATTAAGTTAAATTCTACATTTTGGATAAAATGGGAGCATATTTATTGCTTCTATAACCAGTAAGTAGCATATGTAAGGTACCATACTAAGGCTTGTGCAAAAGTAATCGCAGTTTTTGACATTACTTTGAAAATTTGTTTGCATTGTTAATAAAATTTGTTTGCATTTTTATAGACATAAAGATGGCTATTAATGGCAAAAACAGCGATTACTTTTGCAACAGCCTTAACTAGGTTCTTGTTTTTTCTTTCACTTTTCCCTGTAGCATGTTTAAAAAATATAAATCTCACAATTTCCTATTCACATTGATTGTATCAACAAGATCTTTAGTGTGTAGTGGGCCAGTATGATGTCCTGTGGGATGTTGAGGCCATTGAAACCTTCAACTAAATTATGGAAGAGAGTTGAGAGTTACAAATTTCTGAGGTGACATGACACTCCATGGTTTGGCCCCTTGGTCTTTTCAATTACTAATTCTGTGACCTTAAGCAGTACTCTTTGACGTGTTTGCTTTTGGTTTTCTTATCTACAGTATTGAAGGTCATCTAAGGCCCACTTGAAGTTCTAATATTTTCTTGTTACAAAATCTTCAGTAATGGCAAAACCTAGAGTAAAACGATATTAAGCTGAGAAGAGTAGTTGTATCATTTAAAATGCTCCTAATTTTAAACGAAGGGTGATAGAAAAACATTGACTTTTTTAAAAGACAAAAGGCTGAAAGTTGGTTGCTCAATCCTTACCTTTTTTTTTCCTTTGAGACAGAGTCTCGCTCTGGAATGCAGTGGCCCAATCCCGGCTCACTGTAACTTCCACTTCCCTGGTTCAAGCAATTCCCCTGCCTCAGCCTCCTGAGTAGCTGTGATTACAATGATTACAGGAACATGCCACCATACCTGGCTAATTTTTTTTTGTATTTTTTGTAGAAACAGGGTTTCACCATGCTGGCCAGACTGGTCTCGAACTCCTGACCTCAGGCAATCTGCCTGCCTCAGCCTCCCAAAGTGCTGCGATTACAAGGGTGAGCCACTGCACCCAGCCAATCCTTATCTTATTATTGGTTCTGATTAGAAAAAAATAACATTTCTTTTATCCGAATCTATTAATAGTACATGTTTTATTTATTGCATTTGGTGTCACATAAATCTGTCCATGAAATATAGTGTAAGATACACATTCGATAATACAGACATAAGACTTTTCCCTTGATAAAAATTATTTTCTACTTTCTATTTCTGCCATTTAGTAAATGTGTAAAGATACTCATCTGAAATCTTCAGTTAAAAAAACACAATAGGCCTGGTGTGGTGGCTCATGCCAGTAATCTCAGCACTTTGGGAGCCCAGGCAGGCGGATCACTAGGTCAGGAGTTCAAGACCAGCCTGGCCAACATTAAAATACAAAAATTAGCTGGGCATGGTGGCGTATACCTGTAGTCCCAGCTACTTGGGAGGCTGAGACAGGAGAATCACTTGAACCTGGGAAGTGGAGGTTGCAGTGACACAAGATCATGCCACTGCACTCCAGTCTGAGTGACAGAGCAAGACTCCATCTCAGGAGATAAAAAAATGCCTGAAGTTAGTAAATTATAAGAACCTACAAACAAGATAAAGAAAGATGAGATAGTACTTAATGTTGAAATGAACAAGAAAGGAAGAATTGAGGGTAAGCTGAATAGCTTTTTTTCCTTCTCTGGAGATAGATCTTTATGGCATAGCTTTATTATTTTTTAGTAAGTGAGTTTCTATTGCTTCTCTGCCTTTTGGCCAAGATCAAGTATAGTATGTGTTCTTACCAGCTTAATATCTGATATATCCTGTATCTGAGGACAAAAATATTAAATGGATTTTTGGAGCAGGGAGATGGAATAGGAGCTTGCTCCATCTACTCCACACATTGATCTGGTATTGCAGTACCTTCAGGAATGGGGCACCCCCTCAGGTTAAATTTTTTAAAAAAGCAAAATGAGTTTCTTTAGAAATCTCGTATACCCATTTTTCAAATGTAGATGCATCTTAAAACAAATTCTCAGGGCCCAAATTGTATTGATGGGTAAATATTGTGTGATATTACAATTATGACAGAATCCTGTTATTACTCACTGGTCAGACTAGGGAAGTTTTAAGATGTTTTCTGTTTATATTTGGACAAATAGCTCTTGCTAATATGAAAAGTTTTATCTTTGAAAAGGGGGGGAAGTTAGCCATTTCATGGATGGGACAAGTGAGTAAAAGATCAGAGGGGAGGTAGGAAGAACTGGCAGGTTGAATCTGATAAGATGAAATTAAGTTGATTTTAAAATCTGGTAACTTGATATAGGGCAGGGCAGATTTGAGGTTTTCGGTGACAGCATGCTAAATTTCAACCAGCAATAGCATACAGCTGTGTAGTTGTGCTGCTTCTCCGTACTGGTAGAGTTTTCAATTCTGGCCACCACACTTTTGAAGGAAAATGGGACAGGGTAATGAGAGAACATAAACTATATCATATAAGAAACAGTTAAGTAGCATTTTCCCATGGTTCTGTAGAAACTTAATATATATGACAAGAACAATTAAGGTATCATGCTGAAACACTTGAGTTAAAGCTGGAAAGTTCTTTTTAACGGAAACTTTTCATGGCCTTAAGTAATGCAGATGATCATTGTGATACTTTTAAGAGGGTTGTATAGTGATTTCTCAGATGGGTTTAGACATGGAACACATTTTGGAGACTGGTTAATCACCTCTGGAACAATGTTTTAAGGGATGCCAGTTTAGGAAATATTGGATTAAAATAACTGGTAATGAGGTCAGGTGCTGTGACTCAACGCTTGTAATTCCAGCACAAGAGTTCGAGACCAGTCTGAGCAACATGTTGAAACCCCATCTCTGTAATAATTAGCTGGGTGTGGTGATGCGTGCCTGTAGTTTTAGGTACTTGGAAGTGAATCATCTTTCAAATGCAATTATATGAAAGAGGCAGGTTCACTTTGGCCAGAAGGTTAAAATCATGATTGATTTGTGAAAGTTACCAGGAAAGAGATTATGATATATTATAAGAAATAACTTTCTTAAAGAATTATTCAAAGTTTAGTTGCTCTAGAGGATAAGTTCTTTGTAAGAATCAAAAATAAATGAGGGGATGGATGCAGCAAACCACCATGGCATATGTATACCTATGTAACAATCCTGCATGATCTGCACATGTACCCCAGAACTTAAAGTATAATTAAAAAAAAAAATTAAAAATAAGATGGATACCTGCTTTGTGACAATATTATGAAGAGATACCCATACCAGGTGGGTAGTTGAATTAGATAATTTTTAAGATCTATTATAAATCTAAAATTATTTTTATTAGGGGTTTTCCAAAAAGTTTTGTTGCTGTAATTTTCCATCTAAGTTAATACAGTGTCTGGGTTGTTTTAAAAGCATGCAATAGTTTTTCAAAGAAGGTATGAATAATTGATTTGATGTTATAACATAAAAACAATTGTGAAAAAAATCTGGATTTAGGTACTTGTGTTGCTATTTGTAAGTTATATGACCTCAAGTAATCACACAGCTTTTCAGAGATGTGGATTTTAAATATCTAAAATGACGGTAAGGTTAGGAGACCAGGATTTGGGCAGATTTCTGATTTGAGTACCATATTTACCTTAACCAATTTGTTAGCGCTGTGACTTTCTTTCTTAGTCTCGGTTTATGTATTTTTCAAATGAAAAAGAAAAATACTTACAGGATTACTATAAAGAATAAATAAGATAATGTATATAAAGTACCTGTCATTATATGTGGTATTCAGTCCCAAATCATTAAATGTAGAAATAAACATAAAACAGAATTTCATAGTTTAGGAAAGTAAAGGTCAGAGTTGTAAAGTGTTTGCCAAAGATCTCCTGACCAAGAACTGGAATTCAGGTCTTCTCTCACACAGTTCCATTATTTTTAGTTAAATCATGGTGTCTCTCCTTCCCTGTCTCATTCATTGAATGAACATTCATCATATGCCAGGGAGTCTGCATGGTGGTTGGGATTCAGAAATGAAAGGCTAGACCCTTCTCAATGTCTGGTAGTGGGAGGCAGATGGAGGGAATTGACAGTCACAACACTCTGAAATGGATCTGTGATATAAGTACATATAAAGGAATACTCGATTTAGAGTTGAGAGGGAGAGTCAAAAAAGTTTTTCCTGGAGAATATTAGAAGTAGGAAAGGCCAAGAGAGTAGAGGACTGTGGGAACAATCTATGTAAAGGAACATATGTGAGCACTTGGCATATTTGAGAATTTGCAAATAGGTCAGCATTGTTGGCATATAATAAGAAATGAAGCTGGAGGGACAGATGCTGAAGAGATCCTTATGGCTTTCTGAAGAGTTTAAATTTTGTTTTTAAGGAACTGGGAAACCCCTGAAAGTGCTTTTTAATTTTAATTGAGTATCACATGCTCTTGATAATCACAGAAAAGTGAGAAGTAAAGGTTACTTGACTCCTTATTCTTCCTTACATATAACTACCAGTAAAGTTCCTTGTAAATTAACATTTATATATTCCTACACAGCCAACTATGAATATGTACATGTGTATCTTTTAACAACACATACACAGTTCATATGAAAGTAAACGTATTATTCTCCTACTTGCTCTTTCTCACATATTTCTTGAATATGTTTTATATCAGTACATGCAAATCTATGGCATTCTTTAACAGCTGCATAACATTGCTTGTGTAGTTGTACCCTGATTTTTTATTCAGTCCTCTACTGAAGAGCAGCTAGGTATTCTCTAGACTATCATTTCTACCTAACAGTGTTTCAGTGAGCATTCTTATGCTTATATCTTTGTATACTTTTGCAGATATCTGTAGGTTAGATTGTTAGTAATTATGAAGTATATGTGCATTTTACATTTTGGTAACTATCATCAAATTGCCCTCTAAAAGGATAATTTTAGTAATGCATATGTGCTAGCAGTGTATGAAGTCTTAAGTTTTTCTTGAGTTTTCTGTGGACTTCCCAGCAGATAATTATTGAGTACCTTCTGTGTGCCACAGACTATGGTGGGTACTAGGGAAAGTACAAGTACAAGACAGAAGTGGTCTCTGCCCTCATGCAGTCCAGAGTTTGAACCATAGGAAGTCTGCAGGTGTTTTGTTTGGTCTGTACAGTTTTGTTACTGTTTTGCAATTGAATTAATTTTTAGCTTTTAAATATTGAGAGATTTTGAAAAATTGGAAAATTTGGTATAACTGGGCAAGCTGGGTTCTCTTGTATTAGTTTGCTGGAGTTGAGTAGCCACTGCCCTTTTCAGACGGTGCATTGGACTTTCTAGGAGCACAGTCCATTCCATTTCTTATGGTCTAATATCTCGACCTCTTAACATTTCTTGCCAGAGTCTTGTAAAAGCATTTGAGTTGATTGTTTGATATTCAAATTTAAAATACCTAAAACTGAACTCTGATCTTACCCTGAAAACCAGTTCTACTCACTCTTCTTCATCTCTGTCCTTGTTGCTTAGGCCAGAACTGTGGAATCATCCTTTACTTGCCTGTTTATCTCACAGTCTTTATCCAGTATGTCAGAAAATTCTATTGGATGTACTTCAAAATATATCTCAAATTAGACCACTCATCCCTTCCACCTCAACCTCTCTGGCCCATGCCACCATTATCTCTTGCCTGGATTTTAGTAGTAATCATCTAAGTGATCTCCCTGCTTCTACCCTTGCCCTTCTAGTGACTTCACCGTGTAACAGCCAGATGATTTTTTTAAAATGAAAGAACCTATTACTCGAATGCTCAAAATCTGTAGTAGTTCCTCATTTAACTCAGAATAAAAGCTAAAGTTTTTAAGAAGCTACCTGACTTACAAGGTATACCTTGTACATGCCAAACACGCCTTTACACTAAGGCCTTTGTCTTGGTTTCTCCATTTGTATGGGATGTTCTTCCCAGATAGCTGCAGGGGTGACTGTTTTGGTGAAGTTTGCATTGGCTTTCCTGTTTAAATTTGCATGTTCTCTTCCCTTGTCAACATCCCACTGACCCATGTGCTCTATTCCTGTTCCTTTTTTCCCAAAGCATTCTTACTTCCTCATATATTATTTGCTTATTTTTTTTAATCATCTGTTATTTTCCCCATTAGAGTGTAAACTACGCAGGGGAGAAATTTTGGCTTTATATTTACTAATAATATTCCAGACAGAAGGAATAGTGCGTATTTGTTGAACAAATGAATGAATTTTGAGTTTGCAGGCCCTGATGTGCAAGTTTTTTTTCTTACTGTTTTATTAGATATTAATAATATAAAATACGTTTATAGTGCTTATATGCAAAGACCTATTTTAAAACCTTTATTTTGAATCCTCTGAATCCTTCTACCCTGAGATAGAAACTATTATCTACTTATTATAGAAAGTAAACATAGGCATTTGAGAGGCTAAATAATTTGTCCAAGGTCATAGCTTAGTAGAAGGAAGAACCAGGATTCAGATTTTTTTAGTTAGTCTTGAACCTGAGTCTGCAGTTAACTACAACACTATGTTGTTCTTTTTGTTTTAAGGAAATTAGCTCTTTATGTTGTGTTACAGATCATTTTTCTGTGTAATTTTTTGACTTGGTTTTGAGGTATTTTTGCCTTCTAAAGTATTTTTTATGTAGTTAAAAAAAAATCTATTAATTTTTTTTCAGGCATTTGTTTATTTCAGACAGGATGTTGCCCTGTTGCCCAGTCCAGAGAGTAGTAGTATACAATCACGGCTCACTGCAGCCTCAAACTCTCAGGTGCCTTTGAGGCTTTTAAACTTACTTTTTAGAAGGATCTTCCTGATTTTAACATTAATAATTTAGTCATTTTCTTCCTTATTTTTGATTTGAAATAGAAGTTTAAGATAAGCAGATATATATTTTGTTTCACCTTGACAGCATTATAGAGATTTTGATTGAGAGGAACAAAATTAAAAGTTGGAACAATATTTAGGAACCTAGCACTAATTGAAGTAAGAAATAATTGTCTGAGAACAGGCTGTAGGGATGGACAGAAATAGACTGATTTCAAGAAATATTTAGGGCCAGGTGCAGTGGATCACACCTATAACCCCAGCGCTTTGGGAGGCCTAGGTGAGTGGATAGCTTGAGCTCAGGAGTTTGAGACCAGCCTGGGCAACATGGTGAAATGCAGTCTCTACACATACACAAAATAAATACAAAAATTAGCTGGGCGTGGTGGTGTGTGCCTGTAGCCTATAGTCCAATCTACTTGGAGGACTGAGGTGGGAGAAACACTTGTGGTGGGAAAATCACAGGAGGTCAAGGCTGCAGGAGCCAGCTTCACACCACTGCACTTTAGCCTGGGTGACAAAGTGAGACTCTGTCTCAAAAAGTGAAATAAATAAATATTTGATAAAATCTTCAAGTCTTAGTGACTGATGAGCTGTGCATTAAAGGACTCTGGGATAACACTTGGATTTCTCGTTGTAAGAGTTTGGAAGAGAGAAAATATGTTTGTTGGGTGCCATTTGTTGGTTGAATCGATGAATCATTGAAATGATGTACAACAGAAAGGAACAGGTTTAGAAGATTAAATGGTATTCAGTTTTTCATATGTTGAATTTGAGATGCCTTATGAATATCTCATTTTCAACACTTAGGTTCATCAGGCAGTTTGATAAATGAGTCAGCTTAGGAAAGAAAACTGGACTTAGAGATACTAGGTTTAGGGAAGTGAATTAGAAACTCTGTGAGTTTATGATCTACTTTCTTGCCTTGTTTTTTCCCCCCAGAATTATTACATTGGATGTAATATAAAAATTGCTTGGAAGCAGCTATAAACTGTAAAAAGACTGTGTGTGTATGGTATGTATGATAGGATGTTTTTGTAGTTATATTCATTACCACTCAGAAAAGAGTATTAGTGTTTCTGCAGTGGAGTTTGTGATGAGGATGGGAGTAGAAAGGATGTCACCAAAGAGTCACTATTCTAGAGCAAAAATTCAGATACTTTAAAACTAGGAAGGACTTAAAGGCTACCAAATTTAGCAATGACAACTTATCATTTCTGAATATTCCATTTGCATAAAAGCTAACTTGGGCTTCCTGTTCTTTAGGAGACTTTCAGGTAAAGTTTTAACAGAAGATATGCCAAATTTTTTTCTCGGAAGGGATATTTGTGATCAAGAGAGCCTGGGTTTGAATTCTGTCTATGCCACTTTCCAGCTCTGTGATCTTGAGAGGGTAGTATGGTTTCTCTCTCTAAGCCTCAGTTTCTTCTATTGCTTATATGGAAAGAGTAATTTTCTTTTAGCAGTGGTAAGTAGCTTCCACTAGCTTAGAGATTAGAGATAACGAAGTGTCCTGGCATTTCTAATAGACCTATTAAGTAAATAGAACCTCTTATGATCAGTATTCTCAGCCTGTTTTTATCTTGTTTGACAGCTTTATTTTGAAGCCAGTTACTCTAAAGATAAACTGAACAGTTGTTTTCAAAGCCATAGTTATTTGCAGATGTTTAATGATTTGAAGAGATCCAATGTATGCATAAAAATTGGTATTGGTAAATATTTGTATTGTCTAAGCCAAAAAAAGGACTCCTAGAGGATTTTTTTATACCAGTTAACTGATTTGTAATTCATAAAATCTCTGAGATAGGCATTATCTGCATATTGCAGATGAAGAAATTGAGGTATAGAGGAGCTAAGTAACTAACATAAAATTATATAGGTAGTAAGTGAAAAGAAAGGATATGAATACAGACAGTCTGTCTCCAGAGCTTCTGCTATACCAAGTACTATTGAGGATAACTCAGTGACGGTTTCATTTGCCTTAGAGCAGTGATTCTTTGTAGACATCCTTTCCACTTCCACCCTCGTGACAGAATTTACAGTAAAGATGCTTGTACTCCTCCCTAGGTGTGTATCTACCATATCACATGTGCGCCTCAACCTTTGAGAAAATGAAAGATGTTTCTGAAAGAAAACAAGTGATGCCTGTGATAGCAGTGTAGGTGCACAAAAAATTAGGAAGCACTGCTTTCTAGTATTTATCAGAACTAACCTTTATTTGACTCTTAGGGAAACTCAACAAGCCTTTTACATACATAGTTTCCATAAATTTTAGCAGCAGCCTTGTGGTAACTTGTGTTGCTACCCCATTTTCAAATGAAGAGACTAAGATGTAAAGAAATTGAATAAATTGCCCAATTGTACAACTTGGAAGTCTGAAATGAAAGGGCTGTGACTCAAAATTTCATACTTTAAAAATGTTATGCTATGATGACTTGTTTTTTATTTATAATATTGAAGGATCTATTGAAAGTCAAAATAGCTTTCCCCATGTACTCTCCATTCTGTGAATTTTAATGTTTGCATCTATTCATGGTAACACTAAATGAGAGAGATATAAAATTAACTGAGAGACAGAATAAATCAAAGCCTTGGTTTTTTTAGGCGGAAAAAACCCCTAAAGGATATGCTAATTAAGTTCATTTTTTAAAAATTAAAATACATTTTTATATATGTGGTCAATATAGATCTCAGCTCTTCTACCCTAGCTCCTGCTCATCTGTTGACATAACTTTAAGTTGCTGCCAACTGGAATTCACAGTAGCTCCTGTTTCTGCTCAGATGATAAGTGGTTGTGTTCCCTGTTCTCTCTGGTAAGAACTTCTAGTAGATAGGAACAGGGTTGATTTGATGCACTGTTTACTTATTCCAGCCATCTGTTCAATTTCTGGTAACTGGCGAAGCTCTTGAGGATCGCTGACAGTGAGCAGTTTAGCATTAGGCTATGTGTATCTGACAAGTGTAAGTCACAGAAAATTTCTGTATGATAAAATGATTTAAACTTTGGGCTATGTAGATTGGCAGATACATTCATTGATGGCTTATATTTTGCTCTTATTCTGTTTGCTTTGCTTTTTCTGCTCTTTCACGTACTTTTGTTTTCCCATTCTTTGTTCCTTTTTCTTTTTTATTGTTTGCGTCCCTTTCTTACAGCTTAAAAGTGCCGCATAATTGATCAGTGAAGTTTCCAAATTTCCACTAGGGAAGAGCCTTGGGGCAGAACCTCAGAGGACAGTGAAGGCTAATTAAACATGCCAGCCACAACTGTGTTTTTGTGCAACCCAAAGAAATGCTTTGTAGATTCTTGGTATTCTGTCATAAACTTAAACAGTATTATTAAACTTTATCTTAGGAACTGTAACCATGAATGAAGAAAATACTGATGGAACAAACGGATGCAGTAAAGTTCGAACTGGTACTCAGAATGAAGCAGCATTACTTGCTTTGATGGAAAAGACTGGTTATAACATGGTTCAGGAAAATGGACAAAGGAAATTTGGTGGTCCTCCTCCAGGTGTGGATTTGTTTACAGTCTTTTAAATTTAATCTTTAACCACATTATGTAGATTAGATGTGTATCCCCACAAGTATTCCAAACAATAGCTCTCTCCTTATAACTGCTTTAAGACAATTGTTTTCACTGTTGAGGAGAGTTAGATTATCAATGTTAATTATAACTTACCCTTGCATTTTTTCAGCCCTGCTCTTGGTCTTAGAAGCAGTTGAGAAAGAAGCTGGGCTAGGTTGGGAAAGAAATCAGGATTAGGAATGTGGGGAAAAGGGTGTTAAAGAGGAGATCTAGATGTTAAAGAGGAGATCTAGTTGTTAAAGAGGAGATCATCTGTGGAAGAATTTGAAACATCAGTGAGTAGGTGAGTGGTGTTTAAACTAGAAAACCAAAGGAAACAGGCAAATAGAATGTTTCACCTTTCTACCAATGGCCAGTATTTTCTTTGCTCAAAAATCCACCAATGTATCACACTTAAAATGAAAATATGGCTTCTGGTTACCTCAGTGGCTTCAGCACTTACCACTTTCTTCCTTTCTCAAGTACACGTTAGCTGTACAAGCTTCCATAATCTATGTCACTCTGACATATAAAGTACTTGCTTTTTCTCTTTCTGAATGCGCTTTATCCAGATAATCCTCAGGGCTCACTCCCTCAATCTATTCAGGGCCCTGCTTAAATCTCATATACCCAGAGATTTGCTTGACCAATTCCTTGATTTTCTTCGTAGCACTTATTACTCACTTACTATCTCCCTTTTCTATTGAATATTAGCTTCATATGGGAAGGGGCTTTATTTTATCCACTGTTGTATGCCCAAGACCTAGAATTCTGAGTGGCACATAACACAGCAAATTTGTTGAATGAGTAAATGATTGAAAGGTGAATATAAATACCTGATTAGAATTTATGTGTCTATTCATTTTTGTTTTTCAGGTTGGGAAGGTCCCCCCCCACCTAGAGGCTGTGAAGTTTTTGTAGGAAAAATACCTCGTGATATGTATGAAGATGAGTTAGTTCCTGTATTTGAAAGAGCTGGGAAGATATATGAATTTCGACTTATGATGGAATTTAGTGGTGAAAATCGAGGTTATGCTTTTGTGATGTATACTACAAAAGAAGAAGCCCAGTTAGCCATTAGAATTCTTAATAATTATGAGATTCGACCAGGGAAGTTTATCGGTGTGTGTGTAAGCTTGGATAATTGCAGATTATTTATTGGAGCTATTCCCAAGGAAAAGAAGAAAGAAGAAATTTTAGATGAAATGAAGAAAGTTACAGAAGGAGTTGTAGATGTCATTGTTTATCCAAGTGCAACTGATAAGACCAAAAATCGTGGTTTTGCATTTGTGGAATATGAATCTCACAGAGCTGCTGCTATGGCAAGGAGGAAACTAATTCCAGGTAAATGGATTATTTTAAAAGTTATTTTCCAGTGTTAACCTTACTACAAATATGGAGATATGATAGTATCCCATGGATCAATATTATCAAAATATATAATGCCACTTAGAGGAATAATTAAGAAATGAAGTAAAATCGCATAATTCTAAAATACAAGAAATTGTTCCTATAAAATCAGTCCTCTTTATGATATATTTACTGAATGTATACACTTTGAACTGTTAATTGTTGTTGAATAAAAACCCTAAGGGCAACACTTAATTCTTCCGATAAAGATCTACCTTTGAAGTGTATTTGTTTTATTCACTCTTAAATTACATCATACATTTTAGTTGTTGGCGTCAGTAAAAACTTTTGTATGAGTAGAAAACAAATGCTTAACCAAATTTATTGATTGTAGTTGAGTTTCTGCTTCTCTGGGGAAACAATTTTACTGAACATCTTTAACTTTATTTTTTGTTTTAATTCTCTTCAAATTAATTTTTTTTTACAGGAACATTTCAACTATGGGGCCATACCATTCAGGTAGATTGGGCTGACCCCGAGAAAGAGGTGGATGAGGAAACTATGCAGAGAGTTAAAGTTCTCTATGTAAGAAATTTAATGATCTCAACTACAGAGGAAACAATTAAAGCAGAATTCAATAAATTTAAGCCTGGTGCAGTTGAACGAGTAAAGAAACTTAGAGATTATGCTTTTGTTCACTTTTTCAACCGAGAAGATGCAGTGGCTGCCATGTCTGTTATGAATGGAAAATTCATTGATGGAGCAAGTATTGAGGTAACACTAGCTAAACCAGTAAACAAAGAAAACACTTGGAGACAGCATCTTAATGGTCAGATTAGTCCCAGTTCTGAAAATCTGATTGTGTTTGCTAACAAAGAAGAGAGCCACCCAAAAACTCTAGGCAAGCTGCCAACTCTTCCTGCTCGTCTCAATGGTCAGCATAGCCCAAGTCCACCTGAAGTTGAAAGATGCACTTACCCTTTTTATCCTGGAACCAAGCTTACTCCAATTAGTATGTATTCTTTAAAATCCAGTCATTTTAATTCTGCAGTAATGCATTTAGATTATTATTGCAACAAAAATAATTGGGCACCACCAGAATATTATTTATATTCAACAACAAGTCAAGATGGGAAAGTACTCTTGGTATATAAGATAGTTATTCCTGCTATTGCAAATGGATCCCAGAGTTACTTCATGCCAGATAAACTCTGTACTACCTTAGAAGATGCAAAGGAACTGGCAGCCCAGTTTACATTACTTCATTTGGGTAAGTTTAAAACTACTTTAAACAGTGTAGAATATGATAGTAGGAAATGCTGTAGATTATTTATAGGTTTATTTATTTCAAACTCAACATTAGTGGTAAGTATATGAAATAAATTTTGTCTCAATTTTATAAAGTCATAACTTTCTTGAAACTTGTGCCCTGTAAAATCTTTCTACATTTAACTTTTTAAGCATTACTTAACCACAGGAAAATTTGGTTTTGATTTACTATAGTGTTCATAACCCTGTTTTATTAATTTATTGTTTTTGTAATGACTTGATTCTCATTTGAAATAAAAATTTTTTTGTATAAGTTACAGGATATGTTAATTAAACCAGTTTATAATAAAGTGTCCCTGCATCTTTGGTGAAGTCTACATGATAATGTTTTTGAGGGAGAGAGGTAGGGAGTTAGTAAAATCAGCGGGATTTCAGATGGGTCATGTGTTGACATAGCTTTATGCTCACCAATCTGGAAATTTGTCATTATCACTCATGAAAGACAAAAGGCATCTTTAAGAGATATTTGTGACCACTCTCTCTTTTAACTTCATGCTTTTCAAAAAGTAATTTTCTTTAAAGTGTTTGAAGGATAATTATGAAAAGCTTTGCAAAAGCATAAAAAGATATGCTAACTAAATATTTGACATTATAAAGGAAGAGACATAATATCACAATAGTGTTTTCCTACTTTCTGTTTTTTACTGTTAAGTTAGCCTTGCAGCAGTAGATTTCAGTAGATGATAACTTTGTGCCCCAAATAATATTTACTGGAAGAGTAGTAGTTTCCTGAGAATCAGAAATAAAAGAGAATGATCTCCTGAGGAATATGATTGTTTCTTGATTATAATTGTCAAACTCTTCACTGAAAATTAGTTTTTTGTATGGTTGCAGAACCATAGTGCAGAAGCTTGTATGTATTTAAAATTGATATTCTCAAGTTTAAGAAAAATAGTCAAAAAAGAAAAACATTGTCAAAAGGGAGAATACTTTTTATATATTGTTTAGGCTTGCTTATGTACCACTGCCACTGCCATAGTATTACAAATCTCTTTTTTTTTTTTTCATTTAAATTTTAATTAATTATTTTTTAATTGTACTTTAGGTTCTGGGGTACATGTGCAGATCATGTAGGATTGTTACATAGGTACATACATGGCAATGTGGTTTGCTGCCTCCATTCCCCCGTGACCTATATTTGGCATTTCTCCCCGGTTATCCCTCCCAACCTCCCCAGCCCCCAATCCCTCCCTTAGCCCCTCCCAACAGACCCCAGTGTGTAATGCTCCCCTCCCTGTGTCCATGTGTTCTCATTGTTTAACACTGCCCATGAGTGAGAACATGGGGTGTTTGATTTTCTGTTCTTGTGTCAGTTTGCTGAGAATGATGGTTTCCAGATTCATCCATATCCCTACAAAGGACACGAACTCATCGTTTTTTATGGCTGCACAGTATTCCATGGTATATATGTGCCACATTTTCCTTATCCAGTCTATCATCAATGGGTATTTCAATTAATTCCACGTCTTTGCTATTGTAAACAGTGCTGCAGTGAATATACGTGTGCATGTGTCTTTATAATGGAATGATTTATAATCCCTTGGATATGTACCCAGTAATGGGATTGCTGGGTCAAACAGAATTTCTATTTCTAGGTCCTTGAGGAATCTGTCTTCCACAATGGTTGAACTAATTTATTCTCCCCTCAACAGTCTAAAAGTGTTCCTATTTCCACACATCCTCTTCGGCATCTGCTGTCTCTCAGATTTTTTAGTGATTGCCATTCTAACTGGCGTGAGATGGTATCTCAGTGTGGTTTTGATTTGCATTTCTCTAATGACCAGTGATGATGAGCATTTTTCATATGTTTGTTGGCCTCATATATGTCTTGTTTTGAAAAGTGTCTGTTCATATCCTTTGCCACTTTTGTATGGGTTTGTTTTTTTTCTTGTAAATCTGTTTTAGCTTTTTGTAGATTCTGGGTTATAGCCCTTTGGCAGATGGGTATATTGCAAATATTTTTTCCCATTCTGTTGGTTGCCAGTTCATTCTAATGATCGTTTGTTTTGCTGTACAGAAGTTCTGGAGTTTAATATTAGACCCTGTTTGTCTATTTTGGCTTTTATTGCAATGCTTTTGGTATTTTAGTCATGAAGTCCTTGCCTATGCCTATGTCCTGAATGGTTTTGCGTAGGTTTTCTACTAGGGTTTTTATGGTGTAAGGTCTTATGTTTAAGTCTTTAATCCATCTGGAGTTAATTTTAGTGTAAGGTGTCAGGAAGGGGTCCATTTTCTGCTTTCTGCACATGACTAACAAGTTTTCCTAACACCATTTATTAAACAGGGAATCCATTCCCCATTGCTTGTTTTTGTCTGGTTTGTCCAAGATCAGATGGTTGTAGATGCGTGGCATTGCCTCTGAGGCCTCTGTTCTGTTCCATTGGTCTAGATTTCTGTTTTGGTACCAGTACCATGCTATTTTATTACTGTATCCTTGTAGTATAATTTGAAGTTGGGTAGTGTGATGCTTCTAGCTTTGTTCTTTTTGCTTAGAATTGACTTGGCTATGCCAGCTCTCTTTTGCTTCCATATGAAATTTAAGGTGGTTTTTTTCTAGTTCTGTGAAGAGGGTCCTTGGTAGCTTGATGGGGATAGCATTGAATCTATATGATCACTTTGGGCCATATGGCCATTTTCACGATATTTATTCTTTCTAACCATGAGCATGGAATGTTTTTCTCTCTGTTTGTGTCCTCTTTTATTTCTTTGAGCAGTGGTTTGTAGTTCTCCTCGAAGAGGTCCTTTACATCCTTTGTTAGTTCTGTTCCTAGGTATTTTATTCTCTTTGTAGCAATTGTGAATGGCAGTTCGTTCTTGATGTGGCTCTCTTTAAGTCTGTTATTGGTGTATAGGAATGCTTGTGATTTCTGCACATTGATTTTGTATCCTGAGATTTTGCTGAAGTCACTTATCAGTGTAAGTGATTCTTGTGTTTTTTTGTTTGTTTGTTTTTTGCTCTCCATTTGCTTGGTAAATCTTCCTCCATCCCATTATGAGCCTGTGTGTGTTCTTGCACATGAGATGGGTTTCCTGAATACAGCACACCAACGGGTCTTGACTTTTTATCCAATTTGCCAGTCTGTGTCCTTTGATTGGGGCATTTAGCCCATTTACATATAAGGTTGATATTTTTATGTGTGAATTTGATCCTGCCATTTTAATGCTAGCTGGATGTTTTGTCTGTTGACGCAGTTTCTTCATTGTGTCTATGCTCTTTACCATTTGGTATGTTTTTGGAGTGGCTGGTACTGGTTGTTCCTCTCCATGTTTAGTGCTTTGCTTTCAGGAGCTCTTGTAATACAGGCCTGCTGGTGACGAAATCTGTCAGCAGTTGCTTGTCTGTAAAGGATTTTATATCTCCTTAACTTTTGAAGCTTATTTTGGCTGGATATGAAATTCTAGGTTGAAAGTTCTTTTCTTTAAGGATGTTGAATATTGGCCCCCAGTCTATGACTTGTAGGGTTTCTGCTGAGAGATCTGCTGTGAGTCTGATGGGCTTCCCTTCACAGTTAACCCGACCTTTCTCTCTGGCTGCCCTTAGCATTTTTTCCTTCATTTCAACCCTGGTGAATCTGACCTTGGGTTGCTCTTCTTGAGGTATATCTTTGTGGTGCTCTCTGTATTTTCTGGACTTCAATGTTGGCCTGCCCTGCTAGGTTGGGGAAGTTCTCCTGGATAATATCCTGAGGAGTGTTTTCCAGCTTGGGTTCATTGTCCCTGTCACATTTAGGTACACCTATCAAATGTAGATTAGGTCTTTTCACATAATCCCATATTTCTTGGAGGCTTCGTTCACTTCTTTTCACTCTTTTTTCTGTAATCTTGCCTTCCCATTTTATTTCATTGAGTTGATCTTCGGTCTCTTATATCCTTTCTTCTGCCTGGTCAATTCGGCTATTGAAACTTGGGTATGCTTTGTGAAGTTCTCGTGCTGTGTTTTTCAGCCCCATCAAGTTGTTTATGTTCTTCTCTAAGCTGATTATTCTTGTTAGCATTTTGCCTAACCTTTTTGCAAGGTTCTTAATGTCTTTGCATTGGGTTAGAACATACTCTTTTTAGCTCAGAGAAGTTTGTTATTACGTACCTTCTGAAGCCTGCTTCTGTCCGTTCATTAGACTCATTCTCCATCCAACTTTGTTCCCTTGCTGGTAGGGAGTTGTGATCCTTTGGAGGAGGAGAGGTGTTCTGGTTTTTGGTGTTTTTATCCTTTTTGCACTGGTTTCTTCCCATCTTTGTGGATGTATCTACTTGTGGTCTTTGTAGTTGGTGACTTTGGATGGGGTCTCTGAGTGGATATCCTTTTTGTTAATGTTGAAGCTATTTCTTTCTGTTTTTTAGTTTTCCTGCTAGTAGTCACGCCCTCTGCTGCAGGACTGCTGGAGGCCCACTCCAGACCCTGCTTGCCTGGGAATCGCCCGTGGGGGCTGCAGAACATTAAGGGTTGCTGCCAGTTTCTTCTTTTATCTTTGTCCCAGAAGGTAACCTGCCAGATGTCAACCTGAGCTCTCCTTTATGAGGTGTCTCTTTGAATATATGGGGGTCGGGGAGTCACTTGAGGAGACAGTCTGTCTCTTATCAGCTCAGGTGCTGTTCTGGGAGCTCCATTGTTCTGTTCTGAGCTGCTGGGTAGATATGTTTAAGTCTCCTGCAGCGGGGCTCATAACTGCCTTTTTTCCTCTGGTGCTCTGTCCTGGGAAGGTGGGGCTTTATTTATAAGCTCCTGACGTTCTACTGCCTTTGTTCAGAGATACCCTGCCCAGCAAGAAGGTAGCCTAGTCACAGTCTGCCAGCAGAGGTGTTGCTGAGCTGCCATGGGCTCTGCCCAGCTTCTCTGTGAGCTTCCTTGTGGTTTTGTTTATAGAGGTATAGTTAGAACTGCCTCGGTAATAGCAGTCTGTCTCAGTAATGGTGGACTGTCTCTGTTATGGCAGACTGACTCGG